GATGCAAGTTAGGTTTGATAGTCATTTGCTTCACATTTCATCAGCAGGCTTTGGATCCCTTTGCTTGAAGGTTCAACAATGTGGTCCTATCAAAATTCTCACCATTTGATCCCAGTTCTTACCTTTCTGCTGGGTCCCAACATTCTCTCTCTCTCTCTCTCTCTCTCCCTCCTCCCTAAACTCCCCTATGTGTGTGTCTTTTGCCCATAGCTACCCTACTGTACAACACTGCTTTCTCCAAACTGGTTTTTACTGAACCATTACCAATGATTATGCATAGGGCTGCAGTCAATCACATATATACTGGTGTTCATTCTTTTATTTGAAATTCTGTAATCAGTGAAGGTAAAATAAAATGCAGCCAGGAATATATTGATAATCAAGTGACTGATGAGTTTCACCAATTCATGGAGTATTTATTGCCCAAGAAAACTGGAAATATCCTGAAGTCTTACAACTCAGCTAAGAAAGAAAATGGACAGTGATTTTCCTGTTTTAATTATGATTTGAAATATTTGCATGACATTATAAATAACAAGTTGGAAGCTGTAGGGAACTTTTCTAAACTATCAGTGATGATGATGTCGATGTGGCCTTTGGTGCTGTAAAGACTTCTTGTGACATGTGCATCCTCCAGTCCTGGCTCCTCCGTTGGTGATCTGGCTTCCAGCTTGACCTGGCTGGGCTGTTGTAGGCATTTTGGAATGAACCAGTAGATGACGCTTCATTGCCTTGCTCTTGGTCTCTGACTTTCAAATAAAATATGCAAACAAACAAAAAAATTATTTTATTTATTTTAAATATTTATTTATTTATTTTGAAGGTCTGAGTTACAGAAAGAGAGGGAGAGTGACAGAGACATCTACCATCCACTGGTTCACTCCCTAGATAGCTGCAAAGCCCAATGCTAGTCCAGGCTGAAGCCAGCATCCAGCAGCCAGGACCTTCATCCAGATTTCCCACACAGGAGACAGGGGTACAAACAGTGGAACATCTTGCTGCTTTTCTCAGCGAATAAGCAGAGAAGCTGAATTGGAGGTGGAACAGCCAGGGCATGAACTGGGCACCATATGGGATGCCAGAGTTACAAGTGGCAGCCTTACCCATTGCACCATAACCCTTAACTCCAAATAAATATGTTTTTAAAAGGCCTTTTTGATATGCCAAAGGGAAAAATGTTTTATCTTAATATTCTTCCTATGTGAAGTCTAAAAATGTTGATATCTAAACAAGCTGAGAGATACAGTTTTGTAGATGGATCAGTTTATAAGACTACTTTGCTCCTGATCAGTTGTGTCTTGGGCTGGGACTATGAGGGCAGGGGTATTAGTATGGGTACGGGTATACTTAGGGGTAAGAGTAGGTAGGGGAGATGGAGAAGATAGAGACAGGGGAAGGGAAATAAAGAAGGAGAGAGGGAGAAGGAGAGGGAAAGGAAAAGAAGGAAGGAGAAAAGAGGGAAAGAAAGAAAGGGGAAGGAGGAGAGGGAGAGAGAGGAGGAGAAAGGGAGATGACCATAGTCTGGTTCATTCCCGAAACGGCTGCAACAGCAAGGGCTGCACCTGCTAAAGCCAGCAGCCGCTAACTCAGGTCACCGTGTGAGTGGCAGGGACTCAGCTGGTTGAGTCATCACTGCTGCCTCCCAGCCTGAGCACCAGCAGGAAACTGGAATCTGGAGTGAATCTGAGGTTAGACCACAGGTTCTCCATTATGGGTATCCCAAGTGAGATCTCACCTGCTATGGTAGATGATGACCCTATATGGAGTCTTCAAATGTGTGTTGTAAGAATGTTCATGGTTTTGTATAATAACTGCAGTGAAAAATGCACTGGAGCATGTTGATTAATCACATTTTGGTAAACATATTAAATAACATATTAAAAAGATAGTGGAAGTTTATTACGGTAGCAAATGATTTGTATGTGAAAGAAGGACGTTGTAAAAAAGTGTTTACAGTAGGATTTAGTTGTGGAAAATGGTTATTTATAAAAAGACTCAAAGCAGGTGCTTAGAGATGTTAATAGCAATTATCTCTCTTAAAAAATGAATGACTATTGGGACCAGTATGATGGTTCTACTGGCTAATCCTCCACCGCTAAGCACTGGGATCCCATATATGAATGTTGGTTCATGTCCTGGCTGCATTGTTTCCCATCCAGCTCCCTGCTTGTGGCCTGGAAAAGCAGTAGAGGATGACCCAAAGCCTTGGGACCCTGCACCTGTGTGGGAGATCCAGCAGAAGCTCGTAGGTCTTGGCTTTAGATCAGTTCAGGTCTGGCCATTGCCACCAGAAACAAACAAATAACAAAATAAATCTTGAATATGTAAAGTTTTATATAAGATGCTCTCCACAGGGACTTGTTATGAGAGATGCATGTTCTGGTGTTGCATCATAAAGGATGATAGTATACAAACCCAGATGGCATAGCCAGACCATTCAGTGTGGCCTTTGGATGCAATCAAAAGATGCAATAAATGCTAGATGTATAAGACTGCTGCCAATGTTACATGACATACTGGTTTATTGTAAGCTTTCTTCATAAGTAACATGTGCTGTAAAATAATGATAAGACATACAGCATTAGAAATAGAATAGTGAAACAGTTGTTTATTGCCAACTGTTATCAATTGTACATAGCTGCATATGCTATACTTTTATATGACTGGAACCACTGTGGATTTATCTGCATCACATCGCCACAGGCATATGAATAATGCATCATGCTGTAACAGAACGATGGCTGTGATATTATCAGGTCAAAGGAAATTTCCAGAGCTATGGCAATCTTTATACATGTTCATTTTTTTGTCTTCATCTAGTTGAAATGAGGAGAGTACAAGAGCAAGAGCAAGCAAGAGAGAGGGAGAAATATCTTCCATCTACTGTTTTACTGAACATAAAACTCCATCCAGATGTCTCATGTGGGTGGTAGAGATGGAAGCACTTAGTCACCGGCTCCCTCCCAGCATGCATTAGAAGGAAATTGGATTTCCTTCCAAACTAGCTCCCTGCTTATGGCCCGGGAAAGCAGTGGAGGATAGCCAAGTCCCTGAGGCCCTGAATCCCCATGGGGGACTCAGAAGAGGTTTCTGGATCCTGGTTTTTGGCTTCAGCTCAGCTCAGCTCTGCTCATTGTGACCATTTGGGGAGTGAACCAGCAAGATGGAAGATCTTTCCTTTTTTTGTCTCTCCTACTCTCTGTAAATCTGCCTTTCTGGTACAAATAACTAACAAAATCCTAAAAAAAAAAAAAAAGAGTTCTAGGACTGGAACTGGCATTTTGATATGAAGTGAGGGTGCCCCAAGTAAAAGCTTAACTCACTATGCCACAGTGCCTGCTCTGTTATAATCTTATGGGACCAGCATTGCATGCATCTGATCCATTGTTGGCTGAGAATTGTTATACAATGTATGACCATATGTAGGCAAGTACTTCAAAAAGTTCATAGGAAAATGAAATGGGGGCTCAGTGGCGTAGTCTAGTGGCTAAAGTCCTGGCCTTGAATGTGCTGGGATCCCATATGGGCACCAGTTCTAATTCTGGCAGCTCCACTTTCCATCCAGCTCTCTGCTTGTGACCTGGGAAAGCAGTTGAGGACGACTCAAAGCCTTGGGTTCCTACACCTGCATGGGAGACATGGAGGAAGTTCCTGGCTCCTGGCTTCAGATTGGCGCAACAGTGGCCATTGTAGTCATTTGGGGAGTGAATCATCAGACGGAAGATCTTCCTCTCTTTGTCTCTCCTCCTCTCTGTATATCTGACTTTGTAATAAAAATAAATAGATCTTTTTAAAAAAGAAATGAAATGGAATATATGAGCTTATTTTGTTGCAAGCATTTAAAAATTATCTATATTTATGAATCAAAATTTAAAAAATTTTATTTTATGATTTTATGATACAGTTCTATAGGCTCTGGGATTTCACCTCTCCCTTCCCCAATTTCCTCCCCCACCAACTAATTTCCCCTGTATTATTACAATAGTATATTCCTTCATAAACAGTCATATGTCTGTCATTCTGCTATTTAAGTGTATCCTGGCATTATAAGTATGGACAGTAGCAGAGAGTCTGTTATATGTTATGAAAAAACTTGCTTGAATTTCAGCTATTTTTTCTATAATGCAATAGTCTCACACCTGAAATTTCAATTCCAATGAGCTTTTTAAAATACTCTTATATCTAAGTTACTTTGTAGCTTACAATAATTTGCTTAATTTATTTCTAGAGTTTGTCAGTCTTTGCCCTGGTGTGCCTGCATCCTGGTGTGTATGTATTTGTGGGCTGAACCTAGTGAACTGCTTTTAAGGAACTGGCTGCAACAAAAATGTGAGGCAGTCACTCAGACTGGGCTGTGTAAGAGTTGCCACTTCTGTCTTGTTCACATGCTCTCTGGCTTGCTCTGATGGTACAAGCTGCTGTATTGGTGAAACCACAGAATGATGGACTAAGAATAGTCTTCAGCCATTGGCATTTGAGGAATTAAAGCTCGTGGGGCCGATAGCTCATGATTTGGAACAAGGTAGCATGTGTGAGTTTAGGAATGGATGTTTTCTCAGATTAAGCTTGAGATGAAACTGCAGCTCTCAGCTGATACCTAGAAGGCAGCCTGGTGAAAGACATTGAAGCAGAGGATCCAGGTAAGTCCAGGCCAGGGTCATGACCCACAGAAGCTGTGTGTTACATGAATCCACTGGCGTGTGCTTCAAGCCACTGAAGTGCGGGATAAATGTTATGCAGCAGCAGTCACTGTGTTGTCCATTCCGTTGGACGAGAATGATGCTGGCAACATTTTCTCTCAGTCTTGAAAGACATGTAATACAATAACAAAAAACAAACTGCCTCATGACTAAAATTTCATGGACATTTGAACATGGTTTTTGGTGGTAGTCTTAGATGTCCTTTTATTTATTTGTTTTTTTTTTTTTCTTCAAAGTGTTCCCATTTTGAGAAAGTGAAATTTAATATCTACTTTGAAATTTGGTACTATCCCACCTTCTTTAAACTCTATCTGAATGTCCCAGTCGTTTCTTGAGTTTCCTCATGGCTGACTTCATTTCTTGGTTCCTCAGAGTGTAGATCATAGGATTGAGCAAAGGGGAGATGACAGTGAAGGTGACCGAGATGGCTCTGTCTGTTGGGAGGGCAGTGAAGGGCCGGGCGTAGACATAGATGCAGGGTACAAAATGCAGGGTCACCACAGTGATGTGGGAGGTGCAGGTGGAGATGGCTTTCCTCCTGCCCTCTCCAGCATGAGATCTCAGCATCATCAGTATGACCGTGTAAGATATGATGAGAAAGAAAAATACAAACCAACTGAGTAAGCCATTGTTGGAAATCATCAGGAGCTCCATAGTGAAAGTGTTAGTGCAGGCAAGCTTGAGAACCTGGGGGACATCGCAGTAGAAAGTGTCAAGGACATTGGGTCCACAGAAGGGGAGGACCAGTAACAAGGAAATCTGCACAATGGAGTGGACAAAGCCCCCAACCCAGGAGGCCACGATGAGGCCAGTACATCTCCCTTTACCCATGATAGTCATATAGTGCAGCGGCTTGGAGATGGCTACATAACGATCAAATGCCATGACGGTGAGAGAAAAAACATCTGCTCCTCCAAGAAGATGAAAGAAGAAGATCTGAGTGACACAGCCATTAAAAGAGATGGTCTTTTTCTCTGAGAGGAGGTCTATCAGGACCTTAGGAGCTGTGATGGAGGAGAAACAGATGTCAAGGATGGATAGGTTGCGGAGCAGGAAGTACATGGGCGTGTGCAGGTGAGAATCATAGGTGACTGTAACCATGATGAGGAGGTTTCCCATCAGAGTTGTCATGTAAACCAAAAGCAAGAAGACGAAGAGCACCCAGCTCAACTCCCGGGACTGAGTAATTCCCAGAAAGATAAATTCTTTCACTCTGGTATAGTTTCCCTGATCCATTGGATCACAGATCCTTTTCCAAGTTCATCTCTGGAAGAAATAATAGCAAAATTAGTAAAGACTATGTTCTGATACCTAGTGTTTTGTTTTATTGAAGTTTTTCTTTCAACATTGGAGGAGATTTCTTTTCCTTTTTTTCTATGCATGCACCATGCCTGTAATTCATTATGCCACCAAGCAGGTGTTTGGCTTAGTCATCTCAACAGACATGTCCTGTCATTGCAGCCACTGAAACAATTTATAGGTCTATCAGCCAATTCAGTTGTACTTTTATGGGAATTTTTTTCTTTTTTGCATAACTAGATATTTTAGAATTGTATACATATTTATGTGATAAACCATTAAAGAAGGAAGTACACCATTATACTCCGGAAGGAATCATCAATATCTTAATAGTAACCCCCTGGAGATCCACATACTGTCCATGATTTTAGCATTAAGGAAATGTGGACAAGATAATTGGACTCTGCTAATTTTTGCTTGCTTTTAGAAAATGTTTATGGGCTAATTCGTATATGCCATGCCAGCTGCTTCATTTTATCTCTTTCAAAACATGTTCTATTTGTATGACACAGATGCTTATCCTGATTCTATAAATGAAATAACTGAAGCATAGAAGCATTAACTTGATCAAGGTCTAACAGCTGGTAAATCATTTTTGCAAGCCAAGATTTGTCTTACTCCAAAAACTAGTGCTAGTCACTATTGCAATCCTGCTTTTTCCTATCGCCGATCAGTACTTCCCAGAAAACACTATGAAGAAAAGGGTTCAGAGAAATTCTTTGCAAATCAAGTGAGCATGTGGTGTAAGCTGGTGGTTAGGCACAGGTCTATGGTGAGTGAGAGGAGTTGCGGAGAGGAACTTAGCGAGAGAAAATACCAGTAGTGAATTTGGAAAAACAACTGGCTTTGAAAGATCGAAAGCAACATTTAGTGGCACCTTCACAAAGAGCCAGAGTCAGCCACGTGGTGCTCCCATGACAAGGTATGGAAGTGAGTACTGAACAGTTTTAGCTCAAACAAGAATTTCCCTTGAGAAAATGGATCTGGTGGGTTCCCATGGATGATGTCTTTTTACAGAGTGGAGGAGATACCTTGAAAGTATAATGTTTTGCACATTGCTTTGAACTACATGCACAACAACCATACAATTAGGATAAAGAAATACAAATTGCATGTATCTTTGCAAGATCAAAAAGAAGAATCACAAGAATTTCCTAGAAATTGCTTTCAGAAGGATCACCCATAGGAAGCAATATTAGCAAGGATCTTGGAAAAAGTGTAAAACTGAGGGGTCCCACGCATCTATCACCATACACTAAGATCAAATCAACATGAATAAAAGACCTAAACCTACACCCAGAAACCTTCAAACTCTTGGAAGAAAATGTTGGAAATACCCTGCAAGATCTAGGAGCAGGTCCTGACTTTCTAAGAAGGACACCAAAAGCAATAGCAATTAAGAACAGAATAAACAAATGGGACCTCATCAAACTAAGAAGCTTCTGTACAGCAAGGGAAACAATCAGCAAGGTAAAAAAACAACCCACAAAATGGGAAAAGATCTTTTCATTAGGTGTTAGAGGACTAATCTCCAGAATATACAAAGAACTTCAAAACAACCAAAACACCAAAACAAACAAGCCACTCAATAAATGGGCACAGGAAATGGGCAAACATTTCACAAAGGAACAAGCCCAAATGGCAAACAAACATATGAAAAAATGCTCCAGTTCCCTGGCAATAAGGGAAATCCAAATTAAGACATTGATGAGGTACCACCTAACATCAGTAAGATTGGCCCACATAAAAGAAAACACCAATAATACATGTTGGCGAGGATGTGGGGAAAAGGGAACCCTACTCCACTGCTGGTGGGGCTGCAAGTTGGTACAGCCTCTGTGGAAAACAGTATGGAGAATACTCAAACAACTCAAAATCTGCATACCATATGATCCAGCAATAGCATTCCTAGGAATATATCCAAAACACCTGTTTCACGAGAAACCAACATGCACCCCTATGTTCATTGCAGCACAATCAATAATTGCAAAAACTTGGAAGCAACCAAAATGCCGATCAACAGAAGACTGGATAAGAAAGCTATGGTTCGTCTACTCCATGGAATACTACTCAGCTATTAAAAGAAACAAAATGCAGCTCTTTGTAACCAAATGGACCCAGCTGGAAACCATAATGCTAAGAGAAATGAGCCAAACCCAAAAGGTTAGATATCACATGTTTGCCTTAATTTAAGAATTTAAGATGAAATGATGTCAACATGAAAAATAGTATCTGTAAAATGTAATTTTTAAAAATTTCATCTTACTTTATTTTATTGTTAACGCAAGTGTTACTCAATACTATGTCCACTAATTCCATAATGTTGTGGATTGTTGCTGATGTTATGTTGGGGCTTTTGATTGGTCAGGATGACACTCTGCCGGCTCTACTTTCGGACCAGAGATGGTCCCCACAAGAAGCCGTTGAACTTATCTGGACAATAAGATGCAGGACCCTATGCTTGATATAAGCTTGCAATGAAAGAACCCCAACTGAACTTGAACTGTGGCAATGCAGTAAGGTGGAGGAATCCACCGTGGGGGAGGGATGGGGGGAATCCCAGTACCTACAACTGTGTCACATAATACAATGTAATAAATTAAATAAATAAATAAAGAAAAAACTAGAATCATATCATCTACCAAAAAAAAAAAAACCAAAATAAAAAAAGAACTGAGGGGTCTCTGCATACCTCAGCACATTGAGTTGACTTTCTAGGATAACCCTCATATCACTCTTTCCTTTGCTCTTGATCAAATACCTAAAAGTTTTGGACAAATTCATTGTTATTCAGTGGCACATGAGGGTATGGATGCGTCAGTCATTAGAATACCTTACTCAGCATCTTGAAGTTTCTGTTTCCAGTCAAGAAGCACAGCTGGCCTGAATGCATGTGCGGAACCTAGGAATTGTGGTTCTTTCATCCTGTTTTCCGAAGCAGGTATCCTGGTATCAACAGTTTCACCATCTCCTTCCAGTTGTCATTGAATCTCAGTAGCCACAAGTAACATGCTATCACATCTACTAGATCTTTTTCTATTTTCCAAGCCACACTTTCCCTCCTTTCTGTGTTTCATCAGGAGTTGTGTCCACAGAAACATCTATGCACTTGTAGCCTATCTGAAAAGTCAGCTTTCAGTTTCAGAAGTTCACACACACTAAGACGAACGCTAATGGTTGACTTACTCTCCCAAGTATGAAGTGGATCCAAGGATAACAATAGTGTCCCAGCTACCTTGCAGAAGCAGTGGGTATTGAGACATTCTGAGTTTAAAGTGAAGCCCACCTGAAGACTAGTGATTTTGTTATCTTCTTCCTTCAGATGGGAAAAGACACCTCAGAGAATCACATTGTTCCGACTCTTCTATCCTGCCCTGCAGTGCTTGTCCAACTGCATTAGTCTCTCAGCTACAAGCCCATATAGGAATTAGCAAAGGGACTATTGCTGGGGATGAAGGTGGAATCTGAGTGGCCGAGGCAATGAAGTTCCTGTGGGAGTCGTTAAGGTGCCACCAAGTTAACCCTTCTCCTGTCTGTCTCATCTCACACATCCGTGCAGAGGCCCCAGTGCACTTTCAAAAACAAAACCCTTTCTCTAGAGGAAGCACACAAGAGAGCATTTTCCCCTTTGAAACAAATTGTTGTATTCAACTACACAAAGGACTATGCAATCTTTCTCTGGATCAAAGTAGCTTTGCCTGCAGTCTACTTGGAAATGAAACTTAAGAAAGCAGCAATGGAAAAATGAATGCTTAGTGGCTCCTGCAGAGCAACTCTGAAACTGGGTATTACAGACATGTATATGTACTTTCTGTTTAGGTATTGCCTCTGTATAATTATTTAATATACATCTCTGAGATGCACAGTCCACCTATAATTGAAAGAGGTAGAGAGGTGATAACTCTTGATGTTCATCAACTTTAAAATTGTTTTACTTTGTTTTTAATGAGATGCTTATCATTAAAATGTTTGAAGCAGGCAATCTATATTTTTAGTTGATTCTTCTGAGGTCTCAGTAGGAGAACTTTACAAACCCAAGCACTCATTTCACAATATGTATATAATGCTGAAATGTCACTTTGTACATCCTAAGTGGATGCAACTTTATCAATTATACCTCAAAAAAGCAGGTAAAAACTGAATTAAATGGAAAAAAATAGCTCAGCTTGGTATTCATGTCATCCAGGTAAATATTTATGAGATGAGATACAATCGCTTTCCCCTTTCTGGGTTGACTCAGGTAATATTGTGTGTTTAGATGTGGCTTGGAGAAGTCATCAGGGACAATGAGGTGACAGGGGTTTCTGGGTTCTTGCTCCCTTGTGATTAAACTTCTGAGATACAATAATTCATATCCCATAGGAAAGTGGGACCGGTTTGCCACACATTGGAACATTGTACTATTTGGAATATTTGACACTATTTGCTTTTGATAAAGAGATAATAAATTCATTGGGATAAGCCATGAGACAGGAAGGAAAGGAGGGGACACATTTGCATGAAATGGCTGTTAACTGGTTTGTCATGTGCACCTTTCACAAATAACTTCATACAAAAAACCCCTAAGAACTCCTGAGACTACTGCTATTTGGGCAAAGGTAGCAGGATCCTACGAATAGTGACTTGACAAGTGTGGATTGTTCTTAAGATTTCCGTAGTTTGTTGGGAAGTATGTTAATAATTATAAATAGATTTTTTTTGACCAGGCAATGAGAAACAGTGGCAATTGTGGGCTGTTGTTCATAAGCACAATGAAAGCTTAGTGGGCCAGGCCGCATTCAAGGCATCAGTGAAGTTTGTCTTCAGCTGTGCTTTGGTGAGCTCTCTACTCTCCAGGTTCTCTGTTCTGCTGGTCTGGGCTTCCTTGATCTCTGGTAGCTTCTCTTGGAGCCAGTGCCTATCTTTGATCCATTGTTTTCTTTTGATATGAAATTCCT